TTTTTTTTTTTTTTTTTTTTTTTTTTTTTTTTTTTTTTTTTTTTTTTTTTTTGGGGGGGGGGGGAAGGGGGTCAATTTACTAGGTTGATTAACCAATTAAGGTGACATCCAAGTGTGCTTCAGAAAAACGAAGACCATCTGGACAAGAAAACCACAATTGTAATGAAAAATAAACAGACATGGTAATAACAGCTTGACTTTAGAACTGTTGGCCAGCAATATCTGCTTCGACCCCCCCCCCCCTGCACGCATGCTAACAAACTAAAAATAAAGACACAGCTCACAAATAAAAACGTCATTAGCCCTTTTCTCTGTTCTTCCCGAGGGTATCTAGTTAAGATAGAACAATTGTTCATCATTGGTCTTGTTTAAAAACAAAACAAAAATCGTCTAAAGTCAAGACGAAGAAACTCTCTCTGCAATTTTGGTTTTCTGAACTAGTTTCAGATTCTGTTACGGTTTTGTTAAAGCAACGCAATTAAGTCATTTGTATAATCAAAAATGCTTTCATGCATTGATTTTGTAGTCCACATAAATATATGTTACAATACCTAGATCTAAGAGTTTCTAATACCTGGTACTTTTTGGGATTTGCTTTTCACATAACTTTTCGTTGACTTCATCGTCATATCTATCGCGCGCCATAAAGATGCAAAACAAAAGTGCTCATAACGGCAAACGCAAGCACAAGACAAACCCAATGTTTTACAAGTTATATACTCTTAAATAAGTGGTTGACAAGGTGACTAAAGAAATGCAGGGTTTATGTTACGTGAAAAAATAAACACTTTTTATTTATTTTATTTTATCTTACTTTTTAGTTGATCTTATTTTATCTTATTTCAATTTCATTATTTTTTTTATCTTATTTTTGATTTGTTTTGTTTTGATTTCATTTCATTCAAATTGGTTTTATTTTATTTTAAATTTAATTTCATTTTATTTTAAATTTTATTATTTAGCTATTAAAGTGCATTTTGAAACACATGTAAACAGAAGAAAAATACATATATCTTCTTGAAAACACGTGTTAGCCAAACGTAAGCCCCAGACACGTAGACCTACACTAGCGATAGCGTGACCATTTTGAGACAGTGCATGCACGCGGACTGTCCATGACAACGCTTCAGAGACTGACTCAAGCGAGCGTTATCGTTGACCTACTCACGCGATTATAAGTTTGGCTTTGACATGTGAATCCTACGTGAAGTAATTTATCTCAATAAAACTTATCTTGCCTGTCTAGCAAAGATGTCTAGTGCATGGTCTCACCAGGTAGGAATGTCTGGGTCACTATGACCAACTGAAGGGTCCTTTCAAAGTCCGTTGAAGCTAATTTACTTTTTCATTAGTTACTGCGAGTTACCTCAAACTATATCAATTTTTTTCAAAACTTTTATTTGCACCCAATAAAATGAAGAGGAGCAGAGCTGCGGGGAAGCTGAGGGGTAAGAACCCCCTTTTCTTTTCCTTTTAATAATCCAAGGTTTTGCCCCTGTCAGTGTCCGTAGGCGCATCTTCAATCTCGATAAACATATCATCAGCTTGGCAAGTTCGACATGTTACAAAGAAAACGTACGTCTAGAAAAATTAAAAAAAAAAAACGAATCACTTCTTTTATTAAAAACTCACATCATCGTTTGAGCGATTGCAAATTCGGAATTTGGAAGTACTCATACCCCCCTCCCCCACCCACCGCTTCCTTTAATTCTTTATTATCATTTTTATTTATATCAGTTCATAATAGCTTTCTTAAATCCTGAACACGCCGGTGATGTGGCAACTTATGTAGGTCAACTCCATATAATGACTGTAGCACAAACTAGAAAAAAATAAAAAGAAATAAAGATGATGCATTTTCTATTTGACCTTCTGTCTCCTTTACGTGAAACCAACGTGTGAAACCAATTATGTGAAACCAATATGTGAAACAATGCAATATGTGAAGCCCATTTTCCCTCGGCGTGTCCCAGCCCCGGGTTACCACGGGTCGTGTAACGTGAAAGACGGGAATGCAAACACAAACGTGTTTACTTACAAGTAAATGGATCGATATGTGAACTACGGCTGCCAAAGATAACAGAGAACAAATAGGGGCGTACATGTTTTATAACCCATGCAAGGAGAATTTGTGAGCCTATGAGTGCAATAAAATCAATAAGTCTGACAAAATATCTCCCAGGGCATGAAATGGATGACAGAAGATAAAAATTTATGTTTAAAGCATACGTTTCAACATAAAGGAATAAAAAATACTTTAGAAACTAGTAATCACGAGTAGACAACGTACAGGATTATTCAAACGGTAATATGATGTTTAAATGACAGTTTCTAAAGGTAATCGCATTGATTTCAAACCTTCGGCAAAATAAAAGACTGGGTCACACAGCGAAGCCAAATTGCGAGTAATTAAATTTATCTTAATGAACGCGCTGGGCGCTGTGAATCTGAACGAAGACGGTGCTCTAGAGGCACCAACGCTGTTCATAACGCAGATTCGACATCAAAACCGACTACTTCTAGGCTGTTTTAGAAATAGATCTCAAAAATTGATAGAGAAACTGACTGCGAACATTGCAACGCTACATCTCAGTTAGAACCCACGAAAAAAAGATTATGGGTCCTAAATCTCAGATAACTCATCACGACTCAAACCGCTAGTCAAAATATCGTCGCTTTACAGATTAGATTTATCGCTCCTAAAAGAGTAAAAAAATCGATTTTTCAAATTGATTTAACAACTATAAGGTACCACGAGTTTCTCTGAGTGCATGTTCGGTTATACGCATTCAATGACGGAATTTGTGTCTATACTGATAAGGTAGTAGATGTTAACAAAATAAAGTGCAAAAACGATTTTTCTAAAGCTCCAAGAGATGTGTCTGAAGTTTGTTTTTAATAATATAATAATAAGATGTTTTCTAGAAAAAAGGTGAATTTCGACAGGGGGAGATATATCATTGAACTTAATCAACGTACATTTTAAACATTCAGTCGCAGTTATGCTGTAATCAAAGACATTAGTTTTAAATCTTCAGGCTTGTCAGTGAAACGTCAATTTCAATCTATTAAAAAATGACAATTGAGAAAAATGTATTTAAGCGGCAGGTTGGTGTGGAAGTTGGAGGTTTAAAGGGGATGTATTTCGTCGCATAACAAGAACGCAGCGTGCGAATCGTACAAATTGATCAACGGTGCGTACGTCCATAAATGTGGACTATGTGTTGTAAAGCAAATTACTTACACTTTCACTAATTACAGATAACAATTAAAACGGAATCAAACGAGTAAAAGGATAGGGAGTTATTGAGTGTAAGTTAAGTTTCACCAAGAGTCAACAAGTGTAGAACATGTTTTTAGTGTCAGAAAAAGATGTATTTTAATTTTGACAATCTATTTATCACATGATAACTGAGTTTTGGATAAGGTCCAAGTATGAGTAATCCAACTAATATTTTAGATATCTTTAATTGAAAACAAGTCTCTTAGGGATAACCTAATAAGGAAATGTTGTATGGTGACTTGCAACATGCGAATGGAAAATATTTTGTAATCACGCAAAGACAATGGAAAAGAAAACAAATAAATGCGTGATCAGTACGGAGAAATTAAGTATAAATATTTGTGAAGTTGTATGAAGCGAGAGTCGGTGAATAAACGTTCGAAAGCTCCAGACTGCTGTCGTCATTTCTCTCTATAACATATGTATGTCATGCATTTAAAATAAGAAAATAAATACTAAAGTGATGACAACTCGTATTTTCCCGGGGTAAAGAACAATTTTCCCATACTTTGGAATGGTTAATGTCGTTCCGACATTCAAAGTCAGTCAATTGGTTTATTTATGCGTGGTTTTTGTAATAATCTCTTACGAAATTAATATAGATATAGGTACTATATCTGATGACTAAATTTCATGTATACTAGTAAACATTTATTGAGAACGACTGCAAATGTCATTGCCACCACGCTCGACAGCGCCTTCAGAACTTCACGTCAATAAGAACAAACGAGGATGAGATCTCCTTTGTACATAACACTCATATGGATACATGACTGCCATTCAACAAAAGCCTTATTTTGGCAAACCCAGTGCCCAGCTTAAAATGCGATACCAATGGGAATTATTCCTGAAAGTCGAGTAGCCGCGTGGAGTGACATTAAAACTTGACTTTGTCGAAAGTGTTTAAGTTCTACTGGTTGTACCTTCTTTAGTGAGCATAAACTGAAGGAACGTTAATACTTTTTGAAAGAATCTATAATCAACTTGAACTCAAAAGACTAGTCATGGTTTTCGTTATGCAGATTTCTCCACATGTACAGGCATAGCTATTTTTTTAAAATTATCATTAATATTTCTGTAAAATTATAAGTGTTAAAGTCGGCATGTGGTGACATGTCGAAATCAACTTCCTCTTACTCAGAGATTAGTTCACATTTTACGGGAAATCCAAAGCGTCAAGTGCAACAAATAACTCTGTCTCATATAGACGGCGATATTTCTTCACGTCATTACTCTTTCCTCAAAACTATTATCAATCTAGTATTACATGAAAAAACTTAACTGAGACATATATGTCTCCTTTTAGAGTAAGTATCATGTGTGAAGAAGTTAAAGTAAAGCAGAGAAAATTTCTCGTGTGAGGTGACGTTTGATTACTTAACAAAGGGCCTAGTTATGTTAATCGCGTTTTTGTTCTTTTTTGTTCTCGCAATTTCAATTAATCGTCGACGAAAAAACATGGACAATGTGACATTACTATTCTAGACTGAAAACGAAGACGCCGGCCAATGAGTGGTAGCCTATATTTTAAATAGAGCCCACGTTATTCAGAATATGCACAATGTAAAAGTCAGAATACACAGTGATAACTGAAATCCCCCCAAAAAATCTAATTAGAGGTTTATGTCAAGAGTGTAAAACTATTGTTGGGAACATCACAAAACTTTTCTTAGTGGTTTTTTTTTTCATCTATACTTGTTTACATTTGTATTTCAGATATGGATGCCATGTTACGTTATTTAGACATGCCCGCATACAGGCGTCAAACATTTATTCAAATGTGCACTGCATAATATTTCTCTTTTTTATTGGCGATAAAAGAAACCTGGTTCATTATTCCCCCCCCCCCACCTTCCAGGGGCGTAACCAGTGCTTTAAAATTGTACTCACAGATTTTTAAAATTCCCAGCACGTACAGCAAAATGTAGACTAACGCGACACACAGCATATGTAACACACATCACAGCTTAATTTCCATTAATAATAAATTCATCATATATATCAAAAATATTCTCGCGATTGAATAAAGTTTCAATATTCTTATTGACCCAGAACAGTATATTTATTTAAAAGGAGGCTAAGTTCGCATCCGATTTTCGATAATATTCCGTGGAAAATACACTACATCTAGATAAAATAATACCATGTTTGGCCAAAAAAAAAAAAAAAAAAAAAAAAAAAAAAATTGTACGCACAGTGCATCCGTGCGTATGCCTAGTTACGCCCATGATTCTACAAGTAAAAGAGTGTATTAAACCAAGGAGTCCTTAACCTTACCTCCGAACAGTTAAACTGTTTTTGTAGGCAGCCAAATCGATTCAAAACCTCATTTAATATAGTCTGTGCAGACTGTGGAGTTAAGTACGATTCCTCAGTTAAGACGTCATTGGGTTGTAGATGTTTGAACACACTGCTAAAGGCGTCCACGTGGCCGTGGTCGTCATGGTGACCCTCCTCGGCGTTGCCAAGCAACGCCAGAAGCATGAGAAGAGACATTCGGAGCATGGTTTTCATTTTGCAGTGTGTAGTTGATGGTGGATGTCAACGTGGGCTGTAAAACCTTACTGCAATGTGTGATCTGGGTTGATATCCGAACGTCCCGAGTTAGCTATGTGAAAACTGAAATCCTTGTGTCGTAACTTGAAAAGTAATGTGAATCACACGTGAAAACAATGGATTTGAAGTCCTTTACTGTTATATGCAGCAGATCCACTTTGTTTCAACTTGAAGTAGGCGATTGAAAATTAGATGGTCTTCAAAAGAGTTCAGCGTTTTCCTTCCTCCAAGGAAGAAATAATCTAGCAATCTCTTTGTACGTGGTGTTCGGTTCGTTAATATCTCGCCACTTTACTGACGTAAGATGGGTGTTTTTGAAGCCCGGTTTCCTTCGAGACGAATGCACTATATGTATTTTGTTGGACTGAGGCCAGCTCGCGCTGAAGATTTCGCTGCAAATAACAATGAAATGTGAATAAACAAATAGTTTCATTTGCCAATAGCTATAGAAAATATACTGAAATTTACCACCAGCCATATGTCATCTAACGTTATCGTATTAAGCTCACGTTTTTACCAATTTTTACTTCTGTTAGACTCGTGACCAAAGCAAACAAAATGATTTTGTTAGATGTTTAAAGAAACGATTAAAATTTTAAAAAATCACACACAGGTGACACATCTATTTTTTTAATGAAGATGAGACTCAAATCTGATTTTTAAAATAGTCTACAAGGCAGACGAAACATCTAGACTGGAGGTCGTGCCAACTACAGAAAATAATGTCTTAATTCCAACACTGTTTACCATTAATCTGGGAGGGGTAAATACGAGTGTTAAGATAAACACAGCCACTATATAACATTTACATTGACGTTCCTGTTTTAAAGTGCGTCAGATTTCAGTGAAGAATCACTTTGTAAAAAAAAAGTTGCTTTTGGCATGGTGGTTGTTGACCTTTATCCAGAATATCGCGAACCCTTACGAGTCTTTTTTAATTCACGTGCCGGTTTTTTTTATCACTTTAAGTGTGCCCACGTTATATCTGTCCTACATGTAACACCGACTGATAGCGAAGATAACCCAAAGCAGTTATTAGAGGACACAAATAAGTTGGACGGTATTTGTCATAACGTCGAGGAAAAGAGAGAATTTTCATTTTAGTCAAAGTTAGTATATTGTATTTGGAACAAGCGAGAGCTATCTACAAAACAACAACTACAACAACAACAACAACAATAATAATAATAAAATGAATAAAAAAAGAACTTAAGGTCGAATGATTATTCTTATGTGGCAATAGTGTCTCGCTCATCCAAGCTGCAAACCTGTAGTCAACAAGAAGTCACAAACATAGATATATAAACAAATTTTACGGTCCAGAGATTTTCTTTGATGTCAATCGAATGAGCATAAACGCATGTTGCAGAACACTGCTTTCTACTCGTCCCTGTTCCTAGGACCTAGGTAGTTTAGCCATAGTGCATTGCTCTCATCTCATCTCCTTGTAAGGTCATACGCTTACATGATTCGCATTTTTAAGATGAATGCTGAACTTAAAGAATGGGAAAGGAATTACGAAAAATCAAAGACTTACATCAATGAAAATTGACTTTATTCTCACATGAAAGAATTATTTTATTCAGATTAAAATATAAAAAAGCATAATGAGGCGCAAGCTCACGTTTTTGACTCCATTAAAATAATTTGGGTTATCTCAGCCTTTAGGGTATTGTAACCCTTACTATCATCCAGATACCGAAAACAAAGTTTTTCCTGCATCTTATTATTCAATAACGCATCTATCTCTGCGCTGATTTAAAACAATAAAAAACCCTAAAAAAATAAATAAATAAATAAAATATCGGCATTTATATTTCTCGCTGCAATGTATTAGCATAGGCAACCCATAGCTTTAATCGTCAATTTAACACTTTGCTATTTTGAGGTGAGATAGCATATGGGTATGGGGCGTAACGAACCCAACATTTTATCACGAAAGCTGGCAAAGTTGACCACGAGTGTATGGGCTACAATTCCGTGCCGTTATTTTGGTTGAAATGTTTTTGTTATGGAGTATGAGCCCCTAATTACAACTTTTCATTAAACAAAGGCATTATTTTGCTTTACCAACGATTAAGTCTGAACTAAGACCTTTAAGAAAAAACGCTGTCAGGGTTTTGGAGTACTAAATGGTGTCATTACATCGGCGTTGAAACGGTGATCGTGGGTGCTCAGGCAAAAGAGAAATTTGAGATACCGATTTTTCAGTTTTTACCCTTAAATCGCAATTATGACGTCACCCATAAGATGACATAGGTGTAAATGTTAATTAATTTACGGAACACTGCATATTTATCTAATACCCAAAATAATGAATATAAGGCAGTAAACAAGGAGCTTTGGGCGAATAATATAATATAATCCTTAAGATAGATAAAGTCATGGACATAAAGTAATTTATGTTAGACAAGGACTGGAAAGTTTTAACTTCTCTTTTCCCTAGTCGCTGTTACTAAAAGCAAACTTAAATATCGCTGAATGATAAAAGATAGGCGATTTCTTTTAAATGTTTAACGAACCCTAATTTCGGGGAAATCATATTTTGGGCACCTACTAGTATTTATATCTTTCAAATGAGAAATCGCAGTGGGTATATGTTTGGTCAGCAGCCGACATTTATGTTTGAGCCCAGGAAAAGCCCTTAATGCTGCTGCTTTATGCTTGTTTCACATAATTTGTTTAAAAAACAAAAACAGAAAATTCCTGTCTACCAATCTAGTTTACAAAGAATTGCCCCTCGTTAAAACCCCCTTTACACTGGACGGCGTCCTTTCTGCGCGCGTCCTTTGTGCGACCGTGAAACTGGCAGCGCTGTGGTCGTAGAAAGGAGACACAAGCATCGCTATGGTTGCAAAATGAATGCTCAGCGATCGGTCAGTTGTCGGCACATTAAGTATTATTATTAATTTTTTTTTTACTCTTAACGGGACCGCACTACAGGGCGCATAAAGGACGCCGTCAAGTGTAAAGGGGAATTAACTCACATAGATCTATCAATTTTGTCTGGCCTAATCGTAAATATTACTGTATCATTATCATGACAGATCTTATCTCGCCCCACGAATTATCCCAATGGTGTATAATATAATATAATATAATATAATATAATATAATATAATATAATATAATATAATATAATATAATATAAACTCCGCAGCAAATGAATCTATTTTGATACCTTACCTTAGTGAGGATAATACACGCAATAATTTCCTTGGCGATATTGAAATATTGATTTTGTATTACCTGACACACGCAACGATAACACAAGGACTATTGAAATGATAATTTTACATAACTTCTATCTTTATTCACAACCGTTTACTAAGCTCAGCTAGGGATGAAAAAATACGCGAACCACAATATTTCACACCTTGCTTCCAGAGAATGCGTTTGGAAATGCATTGGAAAATTATGGAGCGTTAGTAGAATTTTGTTTCAGATCATGTATTGTTGCTTACCCACGTACTACTAATTCCCTCTGCGGTTAGTTTAATTTGATAAAAAACATTCTACAAGGCATCAAATACGACACTACTTCTCTTGTCAACACAATACAAAAATAACACAAAGGTTAGGAAAAAATCCAGTTTCCTTTGTCCAGTGAGCCCCATAGCTTAGCAAAGATCATATGCTTCAGACAAAGCCATATTTTTCGCAATTCTTATTTCCTCTGACGTATTCGTTCCATAACACTCCTCATTTCATAAGAGCGTATTCAAAACAGATGATTCACTGACTAAATATGGCCGACCCCACTTAAAACCGATGCCGCTACATCCCTGATGGTCTCCTCGCCTCCACACGCGCAGTCGCTGCAGGGGCCTAGCAATTAAACCCAGGGGCCGAGATTTAATCCGTTAAAGGCGCGTGCGATGCCGGATAAGCCACATCGCTTTTAAGTGGGTCGGCCATATTTAGTCCGCGGAGCAACTTGTTCTAAATGCGCTCTAAAACAGCATTTGTGCTAGGAAAATTACATTTATGCAACTGCAGTATCTGTTTACATGATATCCACTATTTCAATTTACTGAACATGATCAGCATTTTATATGTAACAAAAATAAGCCATGTTTACAAAACTTAAATCTACTCTTACAACTCAATCTCTTACACTATTTTTTCTTTACGCAAACATGCTTGTACGATGTAGCTTGTTTGGTTTGTCTAACATAATTCTAGCGTGAGGCAATTGTTACCTTAATCATAAACATATCAGGGTCGAAAAACATACTAGAAATCCCCACACGCCCGTCTTTAATTCTTTACAAAGCCAATAGCTAGGTCAAGTCTCCGACCACGGCGGTTTGACGTGACACGTCGGCCATTTCACAGAAAAAAAGAGCGTTGGTAAGCAATATAATGGTCTTAATGTTATCTAAATGGCAAAAAGAAGAAAAGAGACTCCATACATAAGATGCCTGCGCTTAAAAAAATCCTTCACATAACAAAGAGGTACTATAGGACAAATGATCAATTACCAGGTAAGACGTACAGGTAGGTGATGGAATACTACAGAGCTATGGAGGCACGCTGCCTTGTCACACTCTGTCACCTCGATGCAAATCAGTCAGAGCTGGCGTCCCTTTTTAATGTCATTGTTCCCCTATTTACTGTTATATCAGTTATCATTGGTAATTATCTGACACGCTGGTGTCATTTTAAACCATCGACGTCAAAATGCTACACCAAAACACTCACCTGGATCCCGAGTTCCTTTACAGCGGCCGCCCTGTTGCTCCCTATATAAACATGGGAAACCTGCGGCCTTCGCTATGTGAAACGACTTCACGTCGTCAACAAGCTTCTATTAACCTACCTGTTCCTGCTTCACATGGTGCCTGGGAGGTCCGCGAACGTGCTGGGGAGAGACAGAGGGGACAATAAACAAGCATGACTGCGCTTTATGTATAGGCTCTATGCATTGTGTAATGGAATTGCATAATGCAAATGAATGTGAGTGCACCGGACGAATAGGGTTTCTGTTTAAATAATCGTTTAATGAGAAGCATACAAAAGATACAACGTGCAACCTCTGGAACGGAAAGGGGGAAAAATCGAGACCCTGCAACCTTTGACGTAATTGTGCTCACAGGACCACGGTCAATTTTAGGGAGAGGCGGGAGGCAGGGCGTGATACTGCAATATTGATTACGAAGATTACGGAAATAGACAAAATGTATGGTTAAGAACGGCGAATTACGAAACAATCGTCATTAAACATGTTTTCTTTAAATCAGTGAACGTTACATCTCGTAAAAGAGGAGAAGCGGCGCAGACGTGTAAGCTATCCAACAGTTTAAAAGGTAGGGGAGTCTTTTTTTCTGAATGAGTGGACATTTTTACCCCCTTTGTTGACGCATCTTAAGAAATTAAATAGAACTATATCAAATTTTGCGTCAGAGTAGAGCAGAACTTTTTTTTTTGGTCAGAAACATTCTTTAGACCCCCCCCCCCCCAAACCGCATTTACGGGCTCGAGAGAAAGGTGAATAGTAGAGATAAAACGCTCGATGTGAACATGCCTTTTGATTGTCTGATTCAACCGTTGCGTACTAGTAGTAATAAATCAGAATAGAAACAAGTGTAGCCTATAACTTAAAAAACTCCCATTCTGCGTTCCCACGCTGACATTATTATATTGTACTGAATTAAATTCACTTTATGGTTAGAAGTTCTATTGATCTCATCGCGCTTTTGTTCGGTGCTTTTTGTAACAGTGGGTTTCACGTGTTTTGTAATGTGAATGAAACATCGCCAGTTTGGAATGCAGTTGTAAAGACCTGTTTTGTGCTGAGTCCACCTGTCCTAGACCTATACTGAACATGTGAATTGAAAGAATGTTTGGTGGATCAATGGTTTCAAAGGGGGGAGGGGGGCAGGGAGGGAGGCAATGATAAAAAAATGGCTGAGTCAAGCGAAAGAAGCGAGAAGACGGAGCTTTAGTTAAAGTATGTAGAGCACGGGGATGAAAATTAATTATGGCTTGGGTTTGTCTCGTCTCGCTCGTTTTACAATTTTTTATTTGGCGGAGAGGGGTGGTGGTAGTGCTGGATCTGTTGTCACCAATTTGACATAAGGACGTGCACGTTAGTCGAAAGTTGTTCTCAGCTGTAGGACAGAAATTGTCGATCCATTTCAAGCCAGGATAAATCTACATTAGTCCAATAAATAATTAGTCTCATATATTAACCGTCTTCCCCAGTAACTATTGTGCAGGATTGGTGCAATATAATATTAGAACGTACTCCTCATTTACCTTGGTTCAAAGCGGGCTGTAAATATCGGTCTATAAATATCAAGACCGACTTTCGACTAAGCTTTTTCATGAATCCAATTCTAGAATTGTAGAAAATTCAACGATTTAATAAAACGACGAAAAAATAAAGAGTCGAGGCACACATGATTGTGAGAAATATTTTTTGACTGGGATTTAATAAAGACGTGACATTTATATATAACCATGCTTGAATAAATTCTACGAGTCTGTTATGGAAGCGCTTGAAGAATATATCTCATCCGATTCCTCTCATTTCTTTCTTAATTGTGTTTATCTGACGGAAACAACAGAAACTTTTTAGCTCTTATAAACATCAATGCGACAAAGAGGTAACCTTAAAGTGTTTTGCTCTGTCGATTTCTTTTTAAAAACGCCCGCAGTTGTAGACCTTTTTCCATTTAATTGACATTGCATCTCGTTATTTATCACTCTACGTTGTGTCAATGCCCAGGAGAATGGTAAAGCATGGTGGCACAGCATAATAAACAGCAGTCTACAACAATTTGCTGTAGACCTTGTTTTAACAAGGGAATTATTTCGTAAACTCCTGTTTTAACTGAGTAGGGGAAATATTCTCATATCAACATTTAAACGAAAGTTTAGCGTCACGATCAATTTGGACACATTTTACCATTATATAGAAAGTAACCGACGACTCATCACGTTCAGGGCAGTGAAACCGTTTTGTATTGGGTCAAACAAATGTAGAATATTCGGACTTCAAGACAAGGCTAACTTTGTGACATTGTAGACATTTTTTGCGTACATCCCCTACAACGAAACATTTTACAACTACTCGGGGTGACAATTTCTCTCTCTCTCCTCCCCCCTTTTTTTTTGGGGGGGGGGGGAGGGAGGTGAGAATGATGGGGGGATTCATTGTTTTTAGTTTATTTTCCATTTCATTTTTCAGCGACACAAAAGAAAACTAAAATACTTTTAGAAAAATACAACACAAACTTTATGTTACAAAGTACAATCATGTTTTTTGATGTCACAGAAATGGAATTCATAATGAGAATAATGGCCACATCTACAATTCTACACATTCATGTAACAGACTATTATCACTATACAAAAATAAATAAATAAATACATATAATAATAATAAGAAACCTAATGCTTAATATGCCAAATACAACAACTAAGTTTTTCTACCACAGGCAAAGAATTTCAAAATTGAAGTTCAATCTAGTTTAAAAGAAGCTATCCTGTTAGATTCAGAGAGTATCGTATCTTTTAACTTCAAAAATACATTTTCCACAATTTCAATGAATGAATACATGAAATCCACCATAATTAATTTTTTAATTTTCACTATTTGTCACAAAAGAACATAAAACTCAAACCTATTATTATGCTTGACTGAATTTTGTTTACTTACTAGACACGATATTCTCTCATTCAACTAAATTGGAACGATGTAAAAATTGTAAAATAATAACATCTTTACATTAAATGATAATTTGATATTATTTTAGAACATAAAGCACAAAAGGCCTATCTAGTTAAGTTTGTTCATGCTTTCATCTCCATGTAATATTTTACTCACTGCCATAATGCTTCATTTACCTATATTCCACTGACATCACTTTACCTAATTCCAACTTGATCAACTTAAAATTCAATTAGGCATTTTTCTTTTTTTTTTTCTTTTTTTTTTTTGGGTGAATCGCCAACTTACTTAAACCCAAATAAGGGTAAAATGAGCATAGTTTGGGTTGAACTTTATATACATTAGATACAGTACATTAAATAAACAAATGCTGTATAACTTCAATATTTGCCATGTTATTCTACTTACACCGAGTTTCTTTGTAATCAGGAACAAATAGTACACAATTGAATTTATAATTATCTGTTAAGACCAGCTACATTCAAATTATAAGTATTTTTAAAATATATTTTCAACATTTATTTGACATAAGGTTATGCACAATGATATAAATAATGATGAACATAAAAACAAAATCCACCTGTGTGTATAAGGTAAGTCTTTTTATACTAAAATTTATATGCAGACTGACTGTTCTCAGACAGAAGAATGCAGGCTGCATAACAACTAAATGTTGGGTGTACAGCCTTTCAGAAAACTATGTTAATAGATATTCAACAATTCAGATTCCTGACTACAATTCTAATAAGCAACCCAACAAAACTGTATGCACACAAGGTTACTGATGACACCTTAAATAATAAACAATTAGGAAATCTATTTTTTCTCTTATTTGAAAAAAATTATTTCAAAAAAAAATAAAAAAATTAAAGCCTGCTTTTAACTAGAGGTGTGTGTTAAATATTAATGTCATTTTGAGTAAAAATGTACAGATTTATCTATATGCCAATTCTATTTTAACTGTAATATGTCTGTATCTATACATATTGTCATGCCCACATTCAACTTTAGCTCCCATAATTATATAAAGTAGCATCATTATCGCTATGGTCATTATTATTCATCATTGATGTTTTGAGGAGGGTACAGACAAAACCTGATAAGCAAGCCGGCATTTTTTTACCCTGCTCTCAGCAAAATCCTGTACCTGCCTTTTTTACACCGCCTCGTGTTGCTTACTTCTTACCTCCAAATAACGACAGAATGATAAGGAACAGATACACGATATCCAGATAGAGCTGCAGTGCAGCAAAGATATACTCCTCTGGGCTCAGTGAATACTTCTTGCCGCCAAACAACAACTGGGTGTCAACGATCAGGAACTGAAGGTGGAAAACACAAAAGTAGTGAAGATTAAAGAGAAATTATAATACTGGTGAGTTAAATAAATAGTGTTTATAGAACTGAAATACAAAATCAATGACAATGAAGAGTAAGAAAATGGAGAATTAGAGATATCAAAATCACACAAACCAGACCCCCCCCCCAAAAAAAAAAAAAAAAATAATAAAATATATATATATATATATATATATATATATATATATATATATATATATATATATATATATATATATAAAAGTACACCCCAAAGATGAAACAAACAAACAAGCACACTAATGAGAAAAAACAATTATTCAAACAAACAAATATTCACAGCTTTCACTCAACAATTAAGCACACAAATCAATTAACTTATCGATAAACAAAATATAATTCAATAGTGCATATGAGGACACTAAGGAAGTGTATAGGATACTTTCCTCCACAAGGGCATAATAGGCTGATATGAACACTGCTACAGATGGGTTGCTAAGGAAGCGTTCAGATAAACCCATATTGTACTAGCTGGATCGATCCAAATCTGCAGGGATTCTCACTTAAGAACATGCCTCCTTGACCAGCAATGAGCAAGTTACTATCGTGCACTCTTGGTTCTCAGAAGCTCTTTCACTCAAGCAGCTGTGCCAGACAATTAAACTGATTAAACTGAACACATTTTAGTGAGAATCCCTCATGGAATTGGACCAATCCAGCTTGTACAATGGGTTTGTCTGAATACGGTCTTAGATGTCAACATTACGCTTTATGTAAAAAAGGCCTTTAAGCTCTTCATCTGCCCTAGCAACATGCAAACAAGGTGATTATGTAACAACTTGCTGCTCTATGACATCCATAAATAAGAATAATATATACTACATCCTTATAACTATATATATTTCTTATATTATTCTTCCTTGCATTACATTTCTATCAACACAAAGTAAGATATTTTCTGAAAAATCTAAAAAAAGTTTTTTTAAAGTTATTTACACTAAGAGGGAGAATAATTAAGAAACATAATATTCTAACTAAACTGCATAGATGTGTTTGCTAGTTTTACTTGGACCCTCTACAATTTTAATTAGACTCCTAACAAGTGGCACAATCAGATGAACAGAATATTGCATATATTAGTGTCATATTAAAACCATACAATGGCCACAGAAATGATCTGGAACTACAAGAGACATCTAAGACTTTGAAAACATGGAACACACATAAACAGATTTCTATATTATATACTTCCAACAACCATAACTCAAATCCATATCATTGTCTTATAAGAATATTATTCAGTGCAATAACAGTGAGTTGCTTCTAGGTGTTGCTGAACATCATTTGTCCATCAATTTAACACTGTCTTAAAATCCATGCTACTGATAGATCAGTGCATGCGTGTGGGTGTGTGTAGTTGTGTGGGAGATCATCTTTATGTATAATATTTATGAAAAAACTAAGATGCACATACTTTTCGTCTAATACAGTTTGCATGTTTCTCATGTTTCGCTGTTCTTTGACACTTTTTAAAGGTTACAGAAGTACACAAAATAGCTTAATTCCCCACAAGCAAGCAAGGACAAAATGTCAATACAACAGCATAATCACATTCCAAACTAACAGTTGTCTTTTGATCTTAGGGGTAAAAATCAGCATCGGTGAATCTGGTCTATTGTCAGCAAATATAACCCTTTTTTTTTGTGCACATTATTCAATTTTTGCTCCCCCCAAACAATGACAAAATAATCAAAAACAGGTAGACTACGTCCAAGTAAAGCTGCAAAGCTCCAAAGATGTACTCCTCTGGGCTCAGAGCGTATCTCCTCTTTTGGCCAAATATCACCTGTGTGTCTATTATCAGGAACTGAAAGGTTAAAGGATGATGGTGATGTTAGTATTGAAGGATAATAATGAACTTGGTATCAAAGGATAATTATCAAATTAGTGTCAAAGGATAATTATGAACTCACAAAGGATAATCTGAACTCATTACCAAGGGACAATCTGAACTTGATATCAAAGGATAATTATGAACTCACAAAGGATAATCTGAACTCATTACCAAGGGACAATCTGAACTTGATATCAAAGGATAATTGCAAATATTGGTATCAAAGGGTATTTATGAAATCTTTACCAAAGGGTGAATAGGAATTTGGTATCAAAGGGTAATAAGAAGTTTTGGTAATGATAAAATAAGTATCAAGGGATAATTTTGAAAAGGATATTAAAGGGTAATTATGAAATGGGTCTCAAAGGATAAATAGGGATTCGGTTTTCAAAGACTTATTAGGAACAAAGAATCAAATTTTCACTGTTATGTGAAACTGCACTGCAACAGTGAAGTCAATCTTAATCACCCAGGCATGGTGAATCTGAATATATCTTAATCTATTTTCAAAACTCATTAAAAAACCATTACTCTGTTACAGGTGAAGCACTTATGATGTGAGAGGTTTTATGGCAAAGTTTACTTTCCTCCTTAAATTGATACAAATATGTTAACATCAGAAGTAAAGCACATTGAGATAAAATTCAAAATTGAAGCATTTAAGAATGAAGAAATGTTATTTGACTGAAGGAATATGATGTCCAAAAAGGTGGTGTAGAAAATGGGGACATGATACAAGCAGTGTGTCTGCAGACATTGAAGTATTAAAAAGGTGTAAATCTATAAATTGTTGAACATGCTATGAAAAATGTAAGAAATAATGTGTGCAATACTCATGACTTTTCAACCCTGAGACAAAAAATCATGCAAAATTTCATCATATAGCAAAAAGTGCCTATAAATATGAAAATGTGACCCTGAAAACAGAAGAGAAAGGATTAAACACTATTCATGCAAAAAAAGTCAATAATTCACAGCGAAAACCAATTTCATTTGACATCTACAAACAAAGCAGATGGATATAAATGAAACACTGAAAATGTGTGAATAAACAGATATAAATGTCAAAACATTCCCCAGCTGTTTACTGAAAAAGCAATTTATTACTATTAATGAAATAATATCGGCAAAATTAAGACCATCAATAACAATAACAACAGTGTTGATAGACTATCTATTCTGACACCCAAAGCTTGTGAGATCCCCCTTCATCAGATCTGGTCACCCAAACATCTCAATTGCTGTAGTTGGCCGCTGTGAGTTGAATCATTGTGAAATACGTTAGGAAAATCCATTTTTTGGGAGGGCCAAAATGAACGGCTATTATACCTTTAAGTACATTATAACATTTTATGGCCTACAATTGATTAATTTTGGGTGCAATTACTGAGCATTTGTTTTACATGTATTTTTGAAAAAATATTTGCTATCTAACCAACTAAATCTTTCCAAAAGACAGGCTTTTTCATCAATTAGCTGGCCAGGTGAAGAAGAGAAATACATCAAAAGCAGGAAGTCTCTACTAGCGCTATAAAAAATACAAATTTTCCTTCATCACCTCCGCCAAGGAAGTTGTGTTTTGCATTTTTTTTTTTGTTAAAAGCCCAACTCAGTAGGTTATGGGCAGATTCTGATAACATTTTCAGGATAAATCAGAGATGGACTTACTAAGAATCTATTTTATTTTGTTGGTGATCCAATAATTAACCAATTCATAATGAGAATTGAACTTCCTTGGCGGAGGTCTGCTTTTCTAGTTCTAATGTTTTACATGTATATACCATGGGGAAGGCATATATCAATAAGTGCATGTAAACAGTCAGTGGTACATACACTTGTAAGCCTGTCAACAACGCTGGGGGATCAGACCTATCAGTTATTTTTTAGCACCCCCTCCACAGGCAAGAAGCATCATAAATATATAAACAATGTCCAGGTACAGCTGGAGTGCACCGAAGATGTGCTCCTCGGGACTCAGGGCGTATCGCTTATTGCCGATCACCATCTGTGTGTCAAACATGAGACACTGGAAAATAGTGATATAATATCAATTTACTTAGACCTGTACTGGAAAATAGTGATATAATATCAATTCATTAAGACCTATACTTGAGAATCGTGATATGATATCAATTCAGTAAGACCTGTACTGGAAAATAGTGATATAATACCAATTATATAAGGCTACATTCAGAACAGTGGACTAAGTAGTCCATGGGTCAAATATGGCAACCGACTAAAAAGCTTGCTGTCTAATCCGCTAATAGACATTGAACAGACTCCCCCTGGGGAGTATTCAAGTGGGTCGGCCATATTTGACCCATGGACTAGTTAGTATGCTGTTCTGAATGCGATCTAAGACCTGTATTGAACACTCTACAGTATCACTATATGCTGATACTTAATGAAAAGAGTGAAGCCCACGTACAATATCACATGTAATACACTAAGACTTGATGAGTTTACAAAAAGATGAGTGGGAATGAAATAAGTATGTCGAGAGCATTTTTTTGTGAAAATATATGTAAGAATTTTTTTGTGCTGACTCCTAATAAACTGCAACTTGTAAGAAGTAAACGTCACAGAATGGCTTCATGGTAGGTAATATTTTTTCCTGAATTCTCGAGCTTCGGGAATCTTTCACATAAAAGCCAAAATATGAGATCTTCACTTTGCATCATTTTGGTATAATAATATCAGTATGTACTAAGTATCATAATAATCCTAGTAACAAGTGTATTGAGCTATACATTATACAAGTTGAACAATCATTGGCACATACACATACTCAGGCACACCACATAGAACACAATATTATAACATTGAAGCTGGGCAATACAAACATCCACATACAAATACCATACACACCGAACATGTATGTCAATAACTCTAGACTCAATTATTAATATGATATATGTTATTGTGTGAGGTTTCTGTACAGTACTATAATAACTGCTTTTACCATGTGAATAACAATGCAATGATGATTAAAATATTGAAAATGTCATTATCACTGCAATGGTATGGATATAACAATATAACTACAATACCAATGCTGTTACATCATTATAACAGTATAGTACTGCAGCAGTAACACTGACACACAGTGGCAAAATCTGCAGCAATATTGTGCTTCAACTTACCAGAACGAAGAGCAGAGCAGCCAGACCTCCCCAAACGCACGACAGCACCTGGTTAAACGCATCAAGTCAGGAAATCAATACTAACAAATCACTTATCTAATGTAGTTATCAATACAACAGAGAATTATTTAGGCCACAGCTACTGCAGGGATAGTTACTGCAGGGAAGTCAATACTAATGGTTACTACAATGAGCTTAATGTGCTACAAGTAGTGCTTACGTTATTTTGCCACTTTACTATTGAGAATTACCATGAAAATTAACTGGTCTTTATTTTGAGTGTAGCCTGTTCGTTTCTGTTGTAACTTTTTAAATATGGCCACAAGACAAACAAAATGAATGACCAATCAAGAATTTTGTTATTTCATGGCCCCCATCTTTAAAACAACCAAGAGATAATCTTTTGGAACAGTGTCAATTTTTTCAATAATGTGCAAATGGGCATAAGTCAACTAAATTACTGGTCAGTTGAGTGGCTCATCTAGTAGACAAATCAAGGGGAGAGAGAGAGAGAGAGAGAGAGAGAGAGAGAGGGGTTACTTACACCAAAATAATTTTCAATTTAGTCTAGGAAATACATATTTCCATTTTGCATGTGAGTGTAGGAGGTTGCATGTAACTTATATAACTATAAATATGTCATTAATACAATTGTTAAACTGATGGTCCATGTATCACTGGACATTTCCTGCAGGCACCTAGTACTCACCCTGGCGGCAAAGTAGTCCACAGGTGTGACAAGGTAAACAATCATCACGGACAGGCCAAAGAATAACAGCACCATGAACAGACCAAATATCAGTCCGGAACAGAGGGTGAAATCAATCTGTAACAAATAAATCATGAGATCAATAAATCAATAGACAGCTTCACCAATCTATTAAAATTGTTGGTTTTTAAGAAGTGTATAGAGTGTAAGGGCTACTGGCCTTGTCATATTAAAATTCTACAATTAAAAGATAAAATATTTATAATAAACATATATGAATACAGAAAAAAACATCTTTCATTATACAATGATTGTAGATTGTCATCTATTGCAAATTGAAGGGGGGATTTGACAACATTACAACATATAACTTCATGACAATATCTACTGCTGCAAAAATAGGAACTTAACACAAATTTTCACTGATTAAAAATCCAGTGATATATCTGTACAAAACAAAGAGCCAACCAAATAGATAACAAAGAAAATAAGTTCACAAATTCATAAATACAACAAGAAGACTGTTCTCCACAGGGCGCTGTACCTTGGTTTGGATGGCAAAGATTGATACAGCCAGACACACTGCGGCAGTGATCCCAGCGGCAATCATGACAGACTCCGTGGTGTAGGAGCTCGCGATGGTGCCCGTCATGTACGAGAACACCAGCGTAAACACAGCCAGGCAGATGAAGTTAGCAGGGAAGCTACGGCGAGCCTCTCGCACGCATACCAGGACTATGTAGAGTATGATGAACAGGGCACTGAAAACAACAAGAAGATCATAGTTCCATAAAACCTTAGTTATCTATACAACACCCGCTAGTTCTATTTCAAGTTTCTATATCTTACTGTGTCTCATTTCTGTCAGCATAAGCTAAACACCTTTACATATTTCTGTAATTTTTCTTTAAATTTTATCACATCAAAAGAGAAAGCTGCCATGTTCACCTTATCCTCCATATTACATAACCTATGTATTATGAAGTCTACACAGATATAAACTTTTTTCTTTCGAATAATCATAGACAGTACTTACTAGGATATCCAATAAAGCCAAATGTTATGTCTAACAAACAATCCCACTGGTTCTCTGTGATAAAAACAAAAAATATCATACATATATATGTGTCTCAAAGCAGACTCTAGTCCCCAACAAAATTTAAGTCTTCAAAAACAAACATGAGTGGTATCATTTCTAGGATTTTTGTTTCAAATCTAATTTTCCTAGAAAAAAAAAACAATAGCAATCTTTTTTCACTCAAGAATCAATGCTTGACCTGCACCTGTTTGATATTTAATTAGTTTAGTTCTAAATGTCTGGACAGATATTAAGACTGCTGTAGTTTTCCTGACATTTTAAAATAGAAATACTGACATCAGATAATTTTATCTAAGGGGTTTTATCGTTTTCTAGGTCTGAATTGGGAAACATAAGTGGCTTTGCCGGTTAAGTACTCAGAAAATATTACTTTGGGAAATTTTTTAATGTGAATAGTATATATTCAACTTAAGTAAATATGCTTGGAATGTACAAGGTATGCACTTTTGCAATAACTTTTATTTCAGCACCTATAATAGTTAAAAGTTAATAGTTAATGTTTCCTCATACTTACACAAGTGAAAAAATGCACACGATGCCAAATGTAACAGCCAGTTGTGCTGCTAATATCAGGTATACCTGGAGATAATAATAATAATAATAATAATAATAATAATAATAATAATAATAATAATAATAATAATAATAATAATGATAATAATAACTCAACTTTTCTCAATATATTTAGGGATATGAACAAACAAATTAAAGCTCTATTATTCACAATTTAACCACCAATACAACATAGATTGAAAAAGTTGAAAATAAACAATAAGGATGTACACAATTTACACCAGTAAATGAGACAATGATTTTGTTCATTTCTTTATACAATTATTTCAACTGCCACTAAATTCTCTGCAGATCTGGAGGCTCACTAACACACACACTAAAATTGGGGCATCCAATAGGTCAGTACTTTGATCAAATTTCATGGACACACTTAGGACAATGTAGTTTAAGTTTGAGTGTACTTCTTTTTATATATGAAAAAAAAAGGACTTCCACAGACTTGCCTACCAACTCAATGTACCTCCAGTTTGGAAGTCCACCCCTTATTCAACACTCACCTTTTTGATAAAATTCCTTCGGACAGCTTTATCTGAGAAGGACTGCCCTGCCCATTCCTCCTCCACAGTGTATGAAGTATCTTCCGGTTTAGGGGCTGCGTAGCCAGTGGGTTGAGGCTGGCTATAGCCACCAGGTGGCGGTGCAGCATATCCTGTGCCGTAGCCATAGCCAGCAGGCTGGGGTGGTGGGGGCTGACCTGCAGTGGAAAGAATGATGTCATAAATAGAACAATGATGTCATGTACATGATGTGATGTCACTGATATTGTGATGATGTCATAAAAAGCATGATGATGTCACTAATAATACACTGGTATGATGTGTGCAACCCTTTCTCAAATTATTAATTATTTTTTAAACAGGTTAAACAAATTCTGGTCCTCGTTGGAGGAGTTAAGAAGAGATACAAAGGCCCCTTATTATACTGTGCGCTATGCAGGCCATAAACACAAACATAAGTGGTCAGTGCTAAGTCCTATTGAAATATGTGAGTAGGAGGGAGGAGATAAATTAGTTCAGGACTGTTCTCGTAACTATCTGACCCTGATGAGATGGGAAAGGGAACAGGTGGATAAAAATCTCTGCTCTTACAAGCTCAATCCAGATCATTTCACTAAATCAATATGTATAAAGTATACAGGATGGTGGTTCACAGATGTTTGAAACCAGGAGTTTTGTAAATCTTCTTAAAATGCTTTTGACAATATATAGTTATATTTACTACTTTGTGAACATTTTCAAGGTACATTGGATCCTTAATAACTGGGATATTTTGAGAGGGAAAATCTGCTCTAGGTACGTGAAGTGTGTGTGTGTGTGTGTGTGTGTGTGTGTGTGATGGAGAGCGGGGGGGGGGGGGG